TGTCCCCCCCCTCCCCCTTTTCCTCTTGATAACTACAAATGGACCATCCCCAATTAGCAGATATTTGCTGGTTGACGAGTAAATGTATACTTGTTAATGAAATCCCATAATAAACTTTTGGTAACGTTTTTAATTCATGGAGGGACGATTCACAGAAGCAGACTACTGGCAGTACAAACACAGCAGCAATGAGTTGATTCCTTCCTGTATTTTGGCAGTAACCTCAGACCTCACAAGTAATAAAGTAAGTTACTGTGTCTAGAGTATTTGAGTGTAGTAGGTAGACACTGCAAAGAAACATATGTAGCAGGTTTCAAAGGGGACACAGCAGCATCAATTGAAATTTGAAGAAGGTACCTCCTAAATCCAGGTTCACCAACACTTCCATGTAGTTGAGGTTTATTTATTGTTGTGACAGTTTAGTAGGTGTGGTATTCAGAAGGTCCTCTGTTCTGGTCTTGGCCATATCAACCAAAGGCTGTACAGTCGCTTCATGGTTGCTATGTGAATTGAAGCCTCTCTGTTATGTTTCAGGAGCGAAAGTATCCTCATATTGGTCCCACCTATCTACTGGACATCTGCCACCGAATTGGCCCAATCCTGGACAAGGAGATCAAGCCCAGTGTGCCCGGGGTGACGTCTCTTCTGGGCGCGGGTCGTCAGTCCCTTCTCCGTACTGCCCAAGGTATGTGACTGTGGGCCTAAAGCATGATTTAGAAAATAGGTATAAATGTCGCTCATCTGATTCCGGCGTAGTATGTGCTGTAGTTACAAGTTAAGATACAGCAGCAGTTTTCACAGTTTTATTTTTCATTTGTTTAATAAATTAATTTTATTACAGCTTTGTATTCAGTGTTGGTTACATTATATGTGACTAGTGAGTAATTACTTTTCACTCTGAATATTAAGTCAGATTATTTTATGTTAGTCAGTGGATTATGCTCTTCAACTGCCCACTTGTTTTTCAGCGATGTTAGTGTTATGCTATGTGTGTGTTTATGTGAGTTTGCTTGTTAAGTATTTCAAATGCCAGTCATCATTTTTGATTGTTTCTGATAAAAGTGGAGAAGCTATGTACTTTTCAACCTTAACAGTTTATGGTGTTTGCAGGCCTCCAGCAGCGGAGCCCGCACATAGTCCAGTATGGCACGCGGCGTCGTGGCTGCCCTGTTCCTAACCCCGTTGGTTTTGCCAAGCAGCACAATCTTGGTGAGTCCCGGTGATTCTGTCTTACACTACTGGCGACTGTCTTGTCTTGTATTGCTACTGACGCCGTGTATGTGAATTGCAGTCCAAGTGTTGCAGGGACGCGAGATTGCCGGACCACTACAGCGCAGACAGGCTGTTCCCACCCATCTCTACAGCAAGCAGCAGCTGTTCAGCCGCACACTGGGACACCTGTCGGCTGTTTACTGCCTGCTGTTCGACCGTAGTGGCCGCTACGTTATCACAGTGAGTGTTCTGTGTCCTGAACAATCTCTTTCTGAATGCGCTCAGAATTGTGGAAATATACTTTGAACACTCTGAGTTTGTGTATTCCACAGAATTTGGTTGTTATTGGGTTGATTTTGGCTTCCCACCGTTGTTTATTGTTTTTGGGGTTCTTCTGTTATATACAACGAGATGACAGCGGCATAGAATGAACACAGAGCCACAGTAAGTGTCCTGTCAGTAGTAACTGTTTCATCAGTTATCAAAGAGAGAACAACGTAATATACATTTGTCATGGTTTCTGTGTTGGTTGACATTCTTTACAAAAATGAACTTAATGTAAGTTGTGTGCTGCCCCTCTATGGTTAGTAAGGTCTTACATTGAATGGCGTTGGCGATCGCCATTGTCTTCTTTATGACGTTCATATCTCTCACCCGCTTGGAGTGGAAATGCCATGAAATTAACAAATCTGATACTGTTCTCTGTACAGGGAGCTGATGACCTTCTAGTCAAGATATGGAGTGCGATAGATGGACGTCTACTGGCAACGCTGCGTGGTGCTTCAGCAGAGATTACAGACATCGCTGTCAATGCGGACAACACGCTGCTGGCTGCTGGCAGCATAGACAAGATTCTGCGTGTGTGGTGCCTGCAGACCACAGCACCTGTGAGTCTGTTACACTGTGCAAGATATTCAGCACAAACTGGCATGGCACACAGCAGAGCATTTCCTAGATCACTTTTAAGGGCCCTGAAAACCCCTTCTTTCCCAGATATAGAACATAAGAGAAATGAAAATAATTTTTTTTTGACCATTTATCTGTGGCAAACTTGAGATTGTTCAGATGAATACATGTTTTCTTATCTCTGAAGTTCAGCACTTATTGGAGCAGGTGCAGAAAGTTGTATTAGCACAGACAAGAATATGTTCTAGTCAAATTGTCAAAATCCAGTTCCATAAAGAAATTTGATAAGAGGGCAAAGTTTTTACTGAACTGTTATGAAAAGAGATGGCCATAAAACTCCAGCAGTTTCACAGTAACACATCATTGTGTGGCTTCACTGCTGTAGAAAGGTATTTTGGACCAAAGAAGTATCTCCTACCTGAAGATGGAAGCATGAAAACTAATGGTTTCATATTTCCAGGTAGCAGTGCTGACAGGTCATACAGGCATGATCACAGCTGTTCACTTTTGTCCAATGGCTCGAGGGAACATTCGATACCTGGTGTCCACCAGTTCAGATGGTTCTGTTTCATTCTGGAGCTACAATCGCCTTAGCCCTGGCAAATACACGTTCCTGTGAGTACTTAACAGCCTGAGAAAAACCTGACTGCCTGTTGACCCCGAACTCTGTCCATAAACTTGTTTTACAAAGTGACGAGAAGGGAACAGCGTGAGACCTCCTCACCACAAAATACAAACAGAGCACTCTGCCGTCAGCCCTTTCGACCATAACAGTACTTGGCAGATTGTGACCGAACTTTACGTTTCGCAGACCTCGGAATTTACGTGTCATTGCAGGGAAGATTTCAGTCCGTCATATTTGGGAGGACCTGGACTCAGGTTTCTACATTTTGGACTGGCTATCCTGACATGGTTTTCTGCAGTCCCTTTAAGAAAATGCTGGATCAGCTCTTTAAATTAGGCCATGACCTCTTCCTTCCCTATCCATTTTAATGAATTTTTCATTGACCATCCTCCCATTTACCGGTGTAGTTTTGGAAGTAGAATTCTGTTTGTAGACTATAAGAGCACATTGTGCTAAGAAGTTTCTGCCTTTGGTGTCGCTATCCCTTCATTTGGCATGAACTGCTGTATGATCATTTCAGTCAGGCAAACTTCTGAGTTGAGACCTACACTTAATGCCTCATCTTTGTGGGATATTAACATTTTATACGATGTTATATGCTTGTTACTTTTATTAGGGTTTTAATCAACCATTGGACAGAAAGTTGGATGAACTGACTGGTGGACCTGGAAATAGCGGAGGCTCGTTCTGATTGATTCCTGCATCAGACATTATCAGTCTGAGGAGACACGGATCTAGTTTTAAACTTACATTTAATACATAAAATAGAAGTAGGTATGAGTATTCCTGTACTTGTAGGTGAATTTCTACACTCGATATGGATGAGTGACCAGCTTTATAACCACCAATTAAAGAGCTTGAACCGAGGGTGAGGGCCGTGGGGCTGGTCTGGTGATATAATCCAGAAGACCGACATCAACGTCTTTGCCTCTGTGATAACGTCAGTCATGCTGCCCGTGACTAGTCACTTAATGGGAAGGATGCACATTAGAAAGTGCTGTTGGGTCACAAACTGATGGCATTGCTTGTTACAGCTCGAAGCCCATCCAGTATAATGAGAGGATGCGACCAGGACAGGCCCAGATGATCTGTGCATCGTTCAGTCCTGGGGGGATGTTTCTAGCGGCGGGTAGCGCGGACCATCACGTCAGGTGAGTCCGATCAGAAGCGCGTTGATGGGCTCGTGGACTGATGTCTGTGTTTTCTGTTTCATACCGCATGCAGTTTTGAGTTAGAACTTTTGCCATGAATTTGCATTTGCTTAACATGGACAGTCCAGAGCATTGCACTTCCTGTGAGTCAGTGTGGAGGAAAGAAGGAAGGCACAGGGAACTAATTGTGTCAGAGAAAATACTCTTGCCCTTATGAGGGGTGGCCTAAATTATTTGGAACATTGTTAGAGTTGGTTATAGGTAATGAGTGTGCAATGTTTTCAAGGAGTTCATTACTAAATTCAAACTTGTGGAGTGCTATATGAATATTGTGTTTGATGTTTACTATTACCTATACAAATTAATGGAAAATTTCCAACACAGTATGCCTGTAATGTATGAACTGTTGTCACAAGCCGTAATATGAAAACGTTGTAATATCTTCAATATTTATCGTACAGGCAAGTGAAGATGGCTCAGAACGCGTAGCATATCAAAGCTAGCAATGCTGTTGTTGTGATTTAGAACAGTGTTGTGCATGGGATGAAGGCTTTCCATCTCCTTGAAGCATGAAATTTTGTGGCACCTACTATAATAGTTTAAATTGTAGCCAAAAGATGGCAGAATTTCTTGCTTTAATGATCTATGATGTGTGCTGTATGAGAGATAACCCCTACCCTTTCTGTTGATGTCCGTACTGTAATGTGAGAGACGCGTGATTCTGGGAGAAGCTTTGTAATTTGAACAGTTGACAAGGCGTCACTTCTGTCGCAGGGTGTATCTCATGGTGGGGGATGAGGGGCCCCACCGCATACTGGAGAATGAGGCTCACTCTGACCGAGTGGACAGTATCCAGTGGGCTAACCATGGGCTGCGATTTATCTCGGGCAGCAAGGATGGAACAGCCCAGATCTGGCACTTTGAACGCCAGCGTTGGAGCTCACTTCAACTGCTAATGAGCACCAAGCTGCCTGGGTGAGTGGGTTGGATTGAGGTGTCTCCAGATGTGACCCTGATTGTAACCAATAGCTTGGTGCTTGAAACTACAGAGACAAATTGAGTGGATATTAATTGTGTGTGTGTGTATTTGCTTCTTATTTGATTTCATCACTGGACCACACACATGCATGCACTCACGCTCAATTTCAGGATTCTTGTATGTGCTATGTACATAAAGGCAGTCACATGCAGCCCGAAGCATGTTGTGAGACAGTAACATGTAAAGAGCTTGGAAATGCTCCATGGAGTTGGTTTGTTAGATAATTGAGCTGCTGAGATTAAGGTTGCCACTTGTGTTGCAGGGCACCAGAGCTGGAGGATGACAACAAGCAGAAACTCAAGGTTTCTATGGTGTCATGGGACACAAGCGATAAGTGGGTCATCACTGCTGTCAATGACCATACTCTTAAGGTCTGGAATTCTGAAACTGGTGAGTTTTCTGCTGTGGCTGTTGATGCAGATTTGAAAATGGAGCAGTTATTCCTGCAGAAGAACACAGTGCATTAAGTGTTTCTGGAACTTTACTGCTCTAAATTTATTCTGGATGAGATAAATGTGAAGTCCAAGTTGAACTTAATAAAATTTCACAGAAACAGATTGTATGCAGTCTTGGTACTTCACATGCAGTATATATTGCACTAAGATGTTCAAGGTTTGAGATACCTTAACATTTTGTGTATATTTAGCTTAACATTATGACAAGTTCAGTGCATCTGTGTCTGCATGTCAGCTCCATGAACGTTAAATTTGCGTCAGATGAATAAATGTGAATACTATCTGAGGGAAACGTGTGAGGTACAGCATGTAACTTCATACAGTGCAGTGTCTTTCAGGGAAGTTTTGTTTTTGAATTTGACTGTCATGTTGCAGGTGAGCTGGTACAAGTTTTGCGAGGTCACAAGGATGAGGTATTTGTCTTGGAGGCACATCCATTTGACATGCACGTTCTACTCAGTGCAGGCCATGATGGGCAGATCTTCATTTGGGACATCCTTGAAGGCACTCCTGTTGCCTCATTTCAGAACTTCATTGAGGGTCAGGGCCACGGAGCAGTTTTCGATGCCAAGTGGTCACCAGATGGCACTATGCTCGCTGCGACTGACTCACATGGGCATATCCTGCTGTTTGGGTTTGGCGCCCCAACTGATAGATTACGTCAGGTGAGGAGATTAGCCGCTCCATTGCTAGAACGGAGCAGATGATGTTCATCGGGCATTCCAAGAAATTCCCTTTTCTGTTTAACTGTAAGGTACATCAGTGATTCACAAAATCCTTCCATTTAACCATTTTGTAGGTCAGTTCCGTTTGGTTTACATCTGTGGTACCTACACCTTATTTGAATATAGTTGCATACAGTTTTACCGGGCACTACAAAATGGTGTTGAATTTTCCCTTATTTTTCTATTTCTTAATTTAATTAAAAGTGTTTTGTCAACTGCTTGAGTTTTGAACACACAGGAGGAGGATTTAGTTGTGGTCCAGGATAATGTATAGAGGACTGAGGAAGACCACCTTAATTTCAGACAGGATGGTTGGCCTTAAGACCAAGATCCAGGCCTGGGATCTGTGATGTATGAAGCAGGAGCATGCATAGCCTGCTGTGTTGCTGGGAAGAATGAGCAACATTTGTGTGTCTGTGTCGTGTTGACATAGTGCAACGTGGTATGTGACTCCACATGTCTGAAAACATGGTGTGTTGAATCGTGTCACTCCGTGTTGCAGCTGCCAAGTGAGCTCTTCTTCCACACGGACTATCGACCGTTAATCCGGGACTCAAACCACCATGTTCTGGATGAGCAGACACAGACCGCCCCCCACTTGATGCCTCCCCCATTCTTGGTGGACATTGATGGGAACCCGTACCCACCATACCTACAGCGCCTGGTCCCTGGTCGCGAGACTTGCAGGGGTGAGCAGTTGGTGCCCAACATCGCCGTTGGTGCCGGAGGTGAGATGTCAGCTGAATGACTGTCAGAGGTCAGTTTCTGTGGATCTGTCTTTCTGCCTGTGACACACACTCCACTGGAATACAAACTAACACATAAGGTGTCCACAGAAACTGAAAATGTCAGAAAAGTGCAAAGTCCTGTATATTTTTCTTTGTGCATAGCAATTACATTGTACTGTAGAGTGAGTTGACTGCTGCAATAGGCCCTGAGCATGACTGAACTGGTCGTGGTATATTTTAAGGTGTAGACCCTCAGGATAAAATCTTGTTGTGCTTTTCTGCATC